TTCAGTCTACAAAATACACAGGAAATGTTTATCTAATGCTATAAAATTTATCTGTATATTATTTATTGATCTAAAAAGAATATGATCAAATATCGAGAGAAGCTTGCCGCAAATTTCAAAATTTTTTTTAGTAATTAAAAATAATATGCTAAAATTATTATTGGTATTTAATAAACCGAAATGAATTTACTGAAGATATAATTTGCAATCACATATGATTGAAAAATACTGTTCAAACTCTTCACTTCATCAGAACTAGAAAAGTAATAAAATAAAGTATCTCTGATAAATTTCTTTTGACAATTTTTAACCGTGTAATAAAACATGTGTCTTTTAAAAGACAAAAGATTCATTGAAATCTTTTTCAACATCTGCAAGCCACACTTAATACTTTTATAAGCAAAGTTAGTTTAGGATAAGCTCCTGTGAATAATTTTTGGCCACTTTTTTGTGGACTTTCTTTGAGAGTGGATTCTGTCCACCTTCCAAGAGTTCGTTACAATTAAATACAATTTTTGTTACACTGAAAAAAAATAGAGTATGTGTTACTTTATTTCTAATTAGTTTAATCAATATTTTAAATTAACATAGAGAGAAGTTCTTAATAAAATAAAATTGGCCTTATTGTTTCGGTAAATTCAGTTATTGAGTAAAAAAAGATCTTATTTTCTCTTGGCTGAAAGTATAATAAACTCGATATTTAGGAAAATTTAGGCAAGTTAGAATATAAATTAGTTGTTTATTTAAACATCATTTTATGGAACAAAAAATAGTCCATAAATTTTTTCATTTACGTCAAAAATTTGATGCTAATTACTTTCATTTTTTAAACGAAAAAATTACAAAGTTAATATTTTTTCGTTTATACATTAAAATCAAAATGTTTCATAATTTGTATTTAATTATCTTTTTATAAAAAAAATTAATTGAAATAAACATAAAAAAAATAATTTTTTAATTATATTTAAACTTTTTATGCATAGCCCATGATAAAATAATGTTATTTAGTTCATGCGACGAAATTTTCTAAAATTCACCCAGCTCAGCTGATAACATTGATGCATACTCGACGTAAGAAATCTAGTAAATCTGAATAAATTAATGTCACGTGCAGCTGTAATCATTTAAGATTTACTTGAAACCAGAATAAAATTCAGGTCGTTGGTTCAGATGACGTTATCTAGACATTATCTTAACGTTATCTCAACGTTTGTTTACTTAGGTTCTCAGTAAAGTTGCATATTAATAAAAGTTCTAGTAAATTAGTTTAGTTTGTGGGAGAGTTTCAGGCTTTCGCTTACCCAAGAAGTGTAACTTAGCATAGCTATAGTTTCACCTTCTTATACCTAAAGCTGCAGAAACTCAACATGGATTAGTTGAATTTAATCTAAGACCAGCGTCTTAGCTGCTACTGGATTTTACTTTTTTTTTTTCAAGCAAAATAATAATGTCCAAAGAAATGTTTGGAATGAAGTTGAAACTTTTTTATGGAAAAAATTCAAAAGAAATCTAAATTTGGAAAATCATAAAATAATTGGCTTCTCCTCAGGAACTAGACTCACGAAGTAAAAATTGCGATACGAAAATCACATCAATTGTCTTGCTATTGTAAAAAACAATTCAAGTTTTCTAGGAAATAAAAAAAAATGTGAGAGGTCACTCGAAGTTGGAATACTGTAGCAAAGTGACCCGTGAATGTGGAGGTTACCTCTTATACGATATATAGTTACTCTTACGTGGTCAGCATTCTGTTCTAATGTTTTCAACGAGCTCATTCTATGGGCAATATTCTTCTCGATTTCTGTTCTACTTTGAACAGAATGTTACCGCAAGCGACTGAATCGAAAATTGTCTTTCCTGTTGGAAAACTGTAAGAACCAGAAAGGAAGGATATTGAAAGATATGGATGGCTGTTTCTCTCGACTAAAGTGTTGAAGAAATGGCAATAAAATTTTTTTATAATTACGTAATCATTTGTCACTATAATTATTTCCTACACTTTATCAAACTCTTTAAATATAAAACTTTGGAAATTTAATCAATAAAAATAAATTCCCAGAAAAAATAATTATTTAAACACTTCATCGAATTAACTGGCAATAAATAAAGCATCTAATCTTTTAGTGAAAGTAATCTATAATTTGATTGAGGAAGTGATGCGTTAGTAGGTCTAAAAGACAATACATAGGCTGTATAATCACGTGCATAGTTCACATAAGAGATTAACTTTTTAAGTGGCAATGTGCGCGAGAGTTGACCGTTAGTACACTAACTTAAGTTTTTGACCCCAAGTCGGACACACCCCATATCCGAGACGACGGCTCTGATAACCTCGTTGCACGCTATACGTGGTGGTGGTAGTCGGGTAACCCGCCTTTATCATAAATTTTAAGTCTCGTCGGTTAACCGTCCACCACCTCCCAACCGACCCTCACCAGGCTGCTCTTCACTACACCCTGTTTCTTCTTTTTCCTTCTTTACCTCATTTTACCACAGCTTCTCTTTCTCTGTTCACTCTTCTGTCTATATACGCTCACACATATTCATCCTTTATCATTCATTTTCTCTCAGCCAACCCCCATGGTTCTTCTCGCCCCACAAAAGTCTGCTACTCATTCCGTTTCCTTCCTACTTTTTCTCTCTTCTCAACTTTCTACGTTCTTTCAACAGCTCTAACTTTCAAATGGAAAATAAAAGCTTGACCACGTTCATCCTGAGCAAGAATTAATGTCAGGGAGGTTATACCTTTAATTAGCAGTTTGGTCAAACTTGTTGGAGGATAGATAAGAATATATTTACTACATTCGTTCCGTAAGAACACCAACGCAACTAATCACGAGCTCCTTAACTTGTGGCTCTACTTGCTTCCATATCTTATCCACTGTGCCGCAAGTCTCTTTAGAAAACCAGTTAAATATACAAATATAATTGCCACCTAATGTGTAATAAAAATAATTCATCTGTAACCAACTAAATAAAATCAGATAAATTTTCAAGTTTTTTTCGTTTTGAAAAGAAATCAAAATTCCATTTGCATTTTTGTCGAAAAGATTTTTTCGAATTAATGATTATTGAAATTGATAATACTATTATTTCTCATGATTCGACTCAATTCACTTGTTAATTTATAACAATAAAAGTGTATGATTTAATTTATTGTTAATTAGACCGTGAATACCGACAGTCAAGATATTAAGTTCAAGTTTTCAATTAAATCATGAGTTTTATATTCTAAGACTAACATTCATTGTTAAATTTCTTAATTGCAACGTAATAATTTCCCTGGAAAATAGTGGTTGTTGTCACTAAAACGTACTGAAGATTTATTTTTCAAATAATCTTGATCATTGGACTGGAAAAAGTCTTATTAACATAAATTTTATTAATTATTTCTTACTAATGTTAAAAAATAATTATAGATGTATTTTGATCAATTGATATCAACAGAATAGACACACCAACAGATATACAATTAAAACTAAAAGTTAGACGAAAGATAAAAAAATGATCATAAATAGCAAATAAATGTTTTTAAAAGAATTGGAAAAACCAGAAATTCTGGTTAATTAATTAACCAGACTTTGATTTAAAGAATAAAAAAAAAAGTTAATGCATTTTAATTTCGAGTTTCTTATAATTTGAATAATTAAATATTCTAAGCCGTGTCCAGCTATTAGTCTAGTTCTTATATTCAATTAAATTTTCATCAAAATATAAAATTAGAATAAAAAATAATAATTAATAACTTGTTTTTAATGGAAACATTGTAACTCACAAAATATTTAATTTATAAATGCAATTAAATCTCGAAAGAGACCGGATAACGTTAAAAAAGGGGTCTGAGCAATTACGTGGTTTTATCTATTTATGCATCTTTCGGATATTTCTCATGATTCATTTGAATTTCGCCTGAACTTGAGCTTATTCATTGACCAGAGATAATATAGCACACTCGTATAAATCGCACTTCATTACGGTTATCCCACGAGTACGGGCATTACAAAACGCCGAAGGTAGATTGCGTAATGAGCGATAGAATTGATGCGGGCACGCTCACAAGAATCTGGTGTGTCCTAGTGTATCTCAATGTCGGGCCAAACTCCCTGTGGCAACAAGGGATAAGTCAGCGCATGGATCGGCGTGATAAACGATGCAGATGTTATTAATTACGGTCTCTCCATTAACTGATGAGTTTCTACTCTATAGTCTTTCTTAAATCTTCACGAAAAAAACTAGAATTCCTTTCATGACTTTTTATTAAAATTAAAAAAAAATTCGATAAAATTTTTAATTTTAAATCAATTATTGTGATAATAATCTGGGTTTTTTTTAATGGACTTGAAATAACTTTTTTTTATCTCTTTCCAAAAATTTCATGATCGGAGTGTTATTGTAGAAAATGTCGATCCATGAGACGTACATTTATTATCAGTATTGACATTGATAATCTATGAATAATGGGCTTGTTGTATTAACAAATGTGTTTATATAAAAAATGTTATCACAAATAGACTATCATAAAAAAGTAAAAATGACTACTGTAAAAATGAGCGTATTATTTGAATCAACTAAGTAAAAGAATGTTTAAAAGACAACAATGCTTAATATTAAATTAACTGGAAAGATGGTGAATTAGATTGGAAAAAATCAAGATTATATATGCTTTAGAATTAATGAATGAAGCTACGTAATATTGAGATATTATAATTCTTGTCACTTGTAAATACCACACTTAGATATTTGTAACATTAAATGCCATAAACAAACTAAAGAATTATTGTAGGCTCTTTTCTAACTTTACGAAATGTTCAAATAATCATATTTACTTGGTTACTATAACGATGATTGCACTAGTGTGACGGAATATATTGTGGGGAATTCCACTTGTGACTCATTAGAGATAAAATGTATAAACTGTATGTTATTAATTTTCATATTTATAAATTTATATAAAGTATTAGTAATTAATGATATCAGATTTACAAAGTAAACTTTTTTTGGTTTACTTAAAAAATTTTTATTGCTCTTGAACAACGATCTTTAAATTGTGCTCCATAAAGTACAACTAAATGTACTACAGTTTGATAAAAAAATAACAATATACTTTTTAAATATGATCTAATCGGGGATTTATAGATTTAAACAGGTGGTACAAAAAGTTTATAAGCGTCCGTCGAAAGCTTTTAAGACAAATTCGACTGTTGACTTCAGTAACGAAAGGAACATTCTAATACGATGTCAGGTAATTATGGTTAATTCATCTTCTAATCAATTTATACAATTGTGTTTACCATTAATTATAATTAGGTCATGAACAATTTATTTACTTTTCATTGCAGGCTTTCTATACATGTTATTATTCTCAGTCTTCGGAAATGCATTGTGCAATCCACCACACTATAATGTCCAACCACAAAAAACGGAATTTTCTCCATTTTACTACCCTTCCAATGATATAGACGAGGAAGTAAAAAACGTTAAACAATTGTCGATTTATTCAGCAGACTGGATAAAACCAGCTAAGGTGGACAATCGACTTGTAGCCAAGTTTACTCAACAATTGGATAATTTTCATAAACGACTTACCAAAACCGTAAGGATATATTAATCATTATATGTTAAAAAGAAAAATAGAATTGTCTATATCTTGAATTAAAAATTTCGAATACTTGAAAATTTCTAGGTTATAAAAAACCATATTTTGCATTAATTAAAATTAAATAATTATTATATAAAATTAACTGTGCATTTAATTTTAAATCATTAATTACATCATCTATAGATGACAGTGTAATATCTATAACAATAATGATGATAATTAATAGGTACTAGATAGTAAACCTGGTCAAAATGTGATCTATTCACCAATTAGCATCTCAATTCTATTAATGATGGTAGCATTTGGAAGTCGTGGCAAGACATTGAATGAAATTTTAAGAGAAACAGGCTTGGAATTCAACACTCGTACATTGATGGGTTTCCACGACCTTGTCGACATTATGGAGGTATTTTCAATTTTTATTTATAAATGATAAAAACACTCAGCTCATTACTCAATTTCTAAATTTTTATGTAGAAACGTTAAAAATTGTGCAATAGTTGATTAAACTACTGTATAATATTTTCTGAAACAATTAACTGTACTCTCTATAAAAGAATCTTTGAATATTGACAGTTTTGTAATAATTTTCATTAATTCATTTTTAGAAGACAAGTTATATGAATTTTTTCAAAATGATATACATTTTCTTACACTTAACTTCGTCATATTTATAAGGACTACTGTTTTTGTCGAATTAGTACAGTCAATTATTTATTAACAAAATAATATTTTCCTACTTGTAATCATAATTCTAAAAGTAACAATAATGCTTGCTGAGAAGGAAAAATTAAAAAATTGTTTTCAAACAAAATTTTTTTTAGAATGTTGATGGAGTAGACTTAGAGTTAGCAAATGTTATTTTTGCATCCAAAAATTTTGATATTGTACCAGATTATCGTCAAAGGATTGTTACACATCTGAAATCCGAGTTACGAAAGATTGATTTTGAAAATACAAAATCAGCAGCGCAAGAAATAAATGACTGGTGTAAAAAACAAACTAAAAATCAAATAACTGAAATTGTAAACTCAGGTAATGTTCAATCAAATTATCTACTATACACTGCAAATCTCGATTGTCAAATACGTGTTGTTTTCACGCATTTAAGTATGTTAGAAATGATTTAAAAATGTTAGTCAAATGGATGACGTCATTTTTAACATACTTAAATGTGTGAAAACAACACGTGTTTGACAATCGAGATTTGCAGTGTAAATATCGATCAAACGGAATATAAGAGAATTTCATAACTACATTTCTTTTTAGACGATCTTTCTGACATTTTGTTGATGTTAGCAAATGCTGTTTACTTCAAAGGTGATTGGATGATACCATTTGATATTGCCGACACTGAAGATGAACCGTTTTACATTAGTAAAAACCAAACGGTTAATGTCCCAATGATGTACATAAACAACGAATTCAGTTATGGACGAATTTCAGAACTCGATACATTTTTTGTTGAATTGCCTTATGTGGTAAGATAATTTAATTTTAATTAAAAAAAAAAATTTCTAATCTACTATCATTTACTAATGAACAATTTTATATTCTAGCACGGAGAAAATGATAGAGATATTTTTAGTATGTTTATTCTTGTTCCCATTAATCATAACTTAGAATTACTTGAAAAAAATCTCGATCTCATTAATTTCAAACATTTGGATCTATATGAAGAAAACGTTCATATTAAATTGCCGAGATTCAAAATTCAATCTACACTGGATGTTAAACCAATTTTTGAGAAAGTAAGAATATTAAATTTACAAAAGATTAATATCCAATTGTTTTTACGATTACTAACAATCTTTTTTATTTTAAGATGGGAATGACGTCAATGTTTAAAGGTGATGCAGATTTCAGAGGTCTTCTCGACCATCAATCAATCTATTTAAGTAAAGTAGTCCAAAAAGCATCTCTGACTGTCAATGAAAAAGGCAGCATAGCTGCTGCTGTATCAGGTAAGAATGGGAAAAAATAATACAGTTTTAAAAAATATTAACGTAATTTTTAATTTTAGCCGCAAGTTTCTCAGATCGTATGGCGGCAAGCATGGTCACAGTTAATCAACCCTTTATTTGTGCAATTGTGCTAAAAAGTTTAGGACTTCCTGTATTTTATGCAAGAGTTGTTGATCCAACTTCATCAAACTAATTTAATACGATATTTTACATGAATAAACAAAAAAAAATCAAGAAGAAATGTATGTTTTTTTAATATTAAAAGTATAAAATACGTTAAAAATATGGAGATAGGTAAACAGAACCATCAATTTTTAAAAACTATTGTATTCAATTGCATTGATGATACTGGTAACCTGTCTGTAGTTTTGACTACAACAAAAATAAATAAAAAATATTCGCTGCAAAAATAAATGAATTATTGAAAAAAATGTTTGACCTCAAGTTACAATTTTGTAGCACATGTTATAATTATTTAAATTTTAATTAATATTTATTGTAGTAAAATTTTTATTATCTTAAAATATTTATAATTACCATTTTTCTTATAAGATAAAACATTCATCGATCTCTTATATTCATTTGATAAAAAATAAAATATGTATCGAATAAAATTCTTATTATTTATGTATTTTTTATTATTAATTAAACTAATATTTGTTTAAAAACGGAAAATATGTATTGCATTATCATTTCTTGAATGACGAATACGTAATGTTTATTCAAAATATTTGTAATAGAAGTTAACTCATATTTTTTTTTATTATTCTTAAAAGATAAAGTAAGTTATTATTGTGGCATTTTTTAAGAATATATAAAAAAAAGTAAACGAGTACTGAAATTGTAGTATTTTATTTCAATACACGAAAGTGTTTCAAAATGAGGTCACCTTTCAAGTGTTCTAAAAACAATGGCAATGTTAATCAAATAGGTGATGTCACGTTTTAACAATTTTAGAGTATATTAAAATGAACAGTGTAGTACAATAAAACACTTTAAAATTTGAGATTTGCAGTGAATTTATAGACTTATAAATCTATATGATTCAATGAAAAATATTTGAATAGAAATTAGTTTGGGAGAAAAATTTACGGTTTACTCTTGTAAATTTGCAACATAGTACCTAAAAGCCCGTGGTTGATTGTCAATTGCGATTATCAGGTGAGATCTGTCGATACTCTATTGCTGGTCGTGCCGTATTTTCTAAGCCAAAACCGCATCGTCTATAGAGAGATCCGTTTCCGATTGAACATTCGAACAACCGGAGCGCATAACTCTGCGGCCTTCGCGGGCTGCCGAGGAGATTGCAACTTGGGATTGTATTACCGATCAATCTACTTCGAGTCGTATCACTTCCTTTCCTCCATCACTACTATCTTCACTTTTATTATCATAAGTATTATCAAAGTCAAGTACATTTCCGATATTTTCTAATTTCTTTTGACTCCAAACAGAATGTTTCTCATGAATCGAATTCATCATATATTTTCCATCAGAAAGAAATGTTTTTGTCAACATCTTATGAAAGACATTTCAAAGGATTGAAAAATAAAAATATATCTAGTGTTGTGTAGAGGAGCAATCTTTAGTCTATATATTTTATCATGATATGAATTTTTCGTTATTTTAACCTGAGGTAGATATGCTTTAATAACAGAAAAGCTAATATCTTTTGTGATCATATAAGCGTAACAAAAAAACGTTCGCATTTTGAAATAATCAAGTTTTTAAAGAAAAAAAAAATAGATTTTCAGGAAACAACAAATTAAAATGAAATAAAAGTTGCGTTAAGTCGAAAAAAAATTGCGTCGATTGTGATTCGAAACCCCTTTGTTGTTACATTCTTTTGTATTTTTGAAATTTAAAACTAATTTGATTTTGAAACAAGTTAGTTCAGTCTATTTTAGCTTCAAAAAAAAAAAATTTCTAATATAAGTTACAATAACATTTTCATGTTTTCTATTGTGAATGGATTTTAAAAGAAAAATTAATAGAAACATAAATAAAATCGTATATTTCACATTATTAGGTTTTAATTGATTATAACTACCTCAGATGTAGTGACCACAAATGCTACTCCTGTAGGTTAGTTATTCCCACCGGATATAGGCTATTTACCTTCATGCTAAATTACATATCGACAGCTCAATTAGCATACCTTTTCAGCTTATTTAACATTAAAATCATTAAAATTGAAGAAGTAGATAATTCTTTTAAATAATCTACAAAATAATTGATTATTTTCTAGATAAAAAAACGTCCAAGTTCGTTATCGCCATATATAAGAAAAAAATCCAAGAGAATGATCGATATTTTTTTTCACAAAATAATTAGCTCGAACATGCTGCAGAATGGCAGACTCTATTGGTCACTAGAAGAAAATGATAAAGTGCAATTCTTATCTTTTTCCATTTACACGTATGCGATATTTATATTCCTATATATCTAAAAAAAAGAGGTGATAGCGAAAAGAGAAACGAGGAAAAAAATCATGTCGACCTAAGCTCTACGAGAATGGTCGGCAGCTAATAGCTGCGGCTGTGAACCCGTGAAAATGCTGAGGCAGACGAGCTTTTTAGAGCTACTCCCCCTTCAACGATTTAAAGCGAGAATGAAATGGGTGATGGCTCCATTGCGCTAAGCTCGAGCTACGAGAACTATGCGCGTACAACCATACATAGCTTTAAAATTGTCGATTCTATTGGAATAAATCGACATTCCATCAACACCAAATTCACCACAGTCGACTATGCAGTACGCACAAATCTATGCTTGTCAACTATTTATTAGAAATTTCGAAAATTCTATTGCTATTTCGTTTTAACATTCAATACTATAGTTTCAATTACCATTATTTTTAACAAAAGAATCAAATTAATTCATGAAAATTTCCTAGACTTTTATAAAAAAAAATTTTAATCAGACTTTATATGGAAATCATGATGAAATGTTCGTGGAAGATAAAAAATAGATCTGTCAATATATTTCAGAGAAGAATGAAATTATGAATATTTGTATTGAATTGAAATTTTAAATGTGTCATTTTTTTAAATTATTTTATAAATATTATTACATTTATTATAACTTTTAAAACTTAATTTCTGACTATACAAACTTATATGGATACATTTTATTTACTTTGTCTAAAAGTGTTCCTGCAATCTCTGTATGTACACTGATAGAAATTGAGATAGCTGCTCCAACTATTTCCATCTATCACTGAAAAATAGTTACGATAACTGTAGTATTTCTAATTGAGAGAACTATTGAATAGTTATGTCAACTGGAAAAAGAGTTACAGTAATTATTGGAAATAGTTATCACAACTAACTGGTTGAACTTGATGAATGTTCAACCATCATACTAGTTAGTACAACAAGAAATTTCTCTCTAGATGTGCAAATGAAATTTTTAATTATTCCTAAAAATTGATATTTAAGGTAAATAATTCCTTTTCAAAAATCATTATCTTCTTTTGGAGCATTTTATTTTTAAAATTTTATTCGAAAAATATTAAAATTTTTTCAAGCTTTACATCATTTACAATACTCAAAATTACATATCCAATTGTTAGGAAGCATCAACAACAATTTATATATTTTTACGACTTCCTGTTGCCAAAAGAACCTTCCTATCAAAAAGGCCTATCAATAACACAGGAAAAAAGAGAGTACATTTTATTAAGGGAAAATAATTTTTGGTGATTAAACATGTGTATAGGAAGAATTTATGATAGCAATGTTGAGATATTCAAAGCGGAATTTCAAAGTCTGAGACCGTATGCGCGATTTAGGATATTATAGCAATAAAAGTAGCAGTATGTCGTTGGAAACGTCCATTGTAGGCTTCACCCTCTCATAGTATTGTACGATTCTCTCGTTGAGAGAATCGTTGAATCATCTGTGTTACGACCATCACAAATAGATATAGGATGATACTCGACCCCTGCTAAAGGAGCAGAAGTGATTTCTTATAATACTCCTCAAGATAAAAAGCCTCAAGATGACTCATCGAGGATGTTGTTTGAATTAAAAAAAAAAAAACCTCTTCTCGTAATAAGTAATAATCCAACCAATTAATTTAAATAATTTAAATAATACAATCAATAACTATCACAAAATTATCTCCAAATTAATGACTGCAACTTCAATAAATTTATCAAAAAATTATTTCAGATATAAATTCAAATTCAAATTAGAATATATTTTTCAGTGTTTTTAATAAATTAGTGATACCTCAGTGTGAAACATACGATGTGAGTTGAGGTCATACATGTAATAACGAAAGTAATATTTTACCATCAGCAATGCGCCTATTCCTAATTATAGTTTATCTCTGGTTCTGACTTAGACTAATGAGAATGGTTTGTTCGATCGTTTGTAACATGAGTTAGTTGTGGCAAACCTCCTAGACTTGTACGCACCATTTCTACCACCACCGCGACTATCAGTGGTTCCTTATTATATGGACTTACACAATCACAAAATATTCTAAATACCATATGGCTTGATTACATAATTAATGCTTACTAATTACTTTATGATAATTCACATTCACTACTCCAAGTTGTCATTTTTCTCTCTTATACTGAAATATACTCCTAAAATTCAGAAGAGATGAATAATTAATTATTCCATATATTTGTATAACTTTCGATTAAGAAAATAAAATTTTAAACCATTTTGGTATTTTAAATGAAGAGATTAATTAACTCGTGAAAAATAATTGATGAAATAAATGGTATTAATTAATTAGTTAATAATTTTTTAATATAATAACTCCGAAAAAAATCATTTTAAAATTTAATAAAATTCTAAACAATTTTTTTCTACTTAAATATTAATATTTTAATGTAAATTATTAATTTTTTGAATTGTATAATTATTACAGAATGAAATGCAATCTATAGTAACCATGTGTTATTTATGGTGAATGGAATTGAACTTAATGATTAACTGAGTTGAGTTCATATATACATGGCGAAAGATATACATGTAAAAAAATGGCCAACAATATCATTTGCAAAGTTTTTATTAATTATATCTTTTGCGAATACTAAATTGGCACAGTGTGTACTCGCGTATTTTCCTCAATTTGGTTGGTGCAGCTGATGCATAGCTTCTACTTCCAATTAGCAGAAGCCACAGTTAAGCCCTAACGAGCGTGCGATAAAATATTATTGAATTATCTGTAACCGTGTATTTTATCGATGTTCGTTAAAAATCCGCGGAATTTTTTCCCGCTGAGTATTATTATCGTAAAGTCTAACGAGCGCGAATCCTCTGCCGAAATTATCCTCTCTGACGAGCATGAAAGTTTGTGAATATTTCAATTATTTTATTTTTATGTTCTATTATATTTTTTAATTATTTCATTTTATTCATGTGAATAAGAAAGGAAGTATTGGAGTATTA